AAGAAAGAAAGAAAGAAAGAAAGAAAGAAAGAAAGAAAGAAAGAAAGAAAGAAAGAAAGAAAGAAAGAAAGAAAGAAAGAAAGAAAGAAAGAAAGAGACAGGGAGGAAGAAAGAAAGAGGGGAAAAAAATCTCTGAAAACTCAGGTACTATCACATTCAACTTGTCATCATTTTTTGCTCCAGATATCCATGTGCAAGTAAATAGATCACATTTTAAAATGAACTTTAACCACAAGTGATGTTATTTGAAGATCTTTCAAGATAAGTAGAGCAAAAGCTAGAGTGTGGTTTTTCAGGTTAAAATGTTATTTGCTGTTATAAACAGTGGGAAGTGAAGGTTGTTGCCTAACAGCTCTGTTTACAAGTTTCATGTTTGGAAGCAGCAACATTTTAAAAATACATATTTGAAAAAGCCAAGCATGCATAATTATTTTGATGTGTTTTATTTTTGCTTCTTCTATTGCGGGTGGCCTAGCTTTGTGGTTAGGAGCGCAAGCTCGGGAACCACACTGATTGGTTCACGCTTACCAGCTGTGTGAATTTGGGCAAGTGACCTCATGGTGTCTTGGTTTCCCCATCTGCAAAATAGGGTTAATTATCATACATACCTCATAGTGTTCTTGTATGGATTAAATGACTTAATATATGTAAAGTGTTTGGTAGATATAAGTCACTCAATAAACATTAGACATCACTATTTTTTTATTATTGTTACTATTATGATTGCTAGTCTGTTAGTAGTTGCAGTGCACAGGAAATATTCCTGAACTGTGTGAAATTATATGTGGATGAACTAATAAGTTGGTATGTCATCTCTTGAATTCCATGTCTGCTCTTAGAAAGAAAGAAAGCTTTCACTGGTGCAGTGCCGTGGTGATGAAAGTTCTAAACTGAAGCCCCAGGAAGCCCTGTGTGGTCAATACGAAAATCCAGATTTTATGTTGGGTTTTATAGTTATTCAATTAAAGTCATGTATTTAACTTTTACTTTCATAGATGACAATAACAAAGATGTTATTTTCAAGTAATATTCCCAAATTGTTAAGAAAATGCTTTGGTTAAACATAACAAGATCAACAAAGATACTGTAACTGGGTTATTAGTGAGTAAAGTAAATTTCCTATGACAAATGTATTTACTAATGCAAAGGAATGCATGATTTTCTATACTAACCTAACAAATGTGGTTTCTTATAATGAGCACATGCTGAGTAAATGTAAATTTCTTTTAGCAAACCTGTAAATCAAGCATATATCCTCAAAATCAAGATATCCATTCAATAGGACATAACAATACATCTTTTAGTGTTAAAATCAGAACGTGACAGGAGAATTTCTGTGAGGTCCCAATTACATGAGGACAAAATACCTATAAATATAAGTGTGACTTGAAGGGACTTTCATCCCATTTTGTTTTCAAGGCATCTGACTTTAAAATATGCTCCAACCTTCTCCTTTATCTTTATAACAAAATATGGTGGCTGCTTCAGTGCTTTGTGTTTTCAAAGCACCCATGTGATATACTGGGGGTGTCAAAAAAACATATACACATGACTTGTATTCATCTTTTGTTACCAGTATATATTGAGTATTACAATTTTAGTACAATTTTTCCTTTCTTAAAATGTGTGTACATTTCTTTGGAACCCTTTGTATTTCCAGACTCTGTCAAGTTTTTGTCAGTTAACTGCTACTGAAAATTATGGCTGCTGATTTCAGCTATAAACTTAGCCAAGGTTGGTTTAAATACCTGGAGTTTATAACTTTCCCCACACTATAGAGTATCAAATAATCACAGGTCAGCTCACTCCTTAATCCTCAAGTAAATAGTCTATAGTCGGCATTAGTTGTCATAAACACACTATTCAAAGAAACATGTTATTAACAGTTGCATTGGATAAGCCCAGAAAGGTCAATGGTGAACAGCTGTTCTTTTTTCACTTACTTCACTCAAATTTGGCCTTTGGCTGTAGGCGATCTGTGTTTTCAAAGAAAAGTTCCCCTCAAGAAAATGATTCACTCTGATTCCTGGCAGTGAGTGATAAGCCATGTGTGTGTCACTCAGCAGGGATCAGCCCTGATAGTGAGCTAGCTCAAGCTTTTGCAAGTAAAATGACCACAGTCAAATTGAAACCTTTGGAACTTAGCTCTGAAGAAAATAAACTTATACTTTAAAGTACTTCCCTAAATTTGTGGGGAAAAAATTTAAATAGAAAATGCATACATATAATTAATATAATTGTATATATTGCATATGTGTTTGTACCCCTTCTACATTCTGATAATATTTTACATTTATTTTTAAAGTATCTGTGATTTAAAAATCTAAACAAGCTGGGTATTTAAGTGGATAAAAAACATCATTCTATCCTTGATATTAAGAAAAAAAAATGGAGAAACGGGGCATCCCCACCTCCTCAATAATCTGTTCTAAAATTCTAAGAGGCTGTAGACATGATTAATTTGTCATTATTATTTTCCTTTAATAGAAGGTGAATACTGTTTTTCATTCATTAATAGGGAAATAAATTTTTGGCTTGCCCACTATGTGCGAAACCCTGTGTAATTGCTTTTATAAAGGTTATTTAATCTAATATGACAATTCCATTATTAGATGAGGACAAACAGGCTTCAAGAGCTCTGTTATCTTTCCAAGGGTATAACTAGTAAGCTGCAGGGCAGGATTCAAACCAAATAGAGAACAATTTTCTCAAAAAAAATAAATAAAAGTCAATTTGCTGTTTAATTACTGTCATATAGTAGATGATCATTAACCCTAAGTCATTTATAAATGTTTATAACTTCTCTTTGAATCCCTTCTCATAGGATATTAAAATAATTCTCCAGAGGAGTGAACATGTGCAAGGAAGTGATGGAGAAAGATCTCCTTCAAGACTTACAGAGGAAAAGAAGTAAAGACACAAGAGTGTGATTTGTATAATCTAGCAATGAATCTTCCAAACATAAAATGTAAAGATGGTGTCTGTCATATATGTTATTCTTGTAAGTATAGAAATGACCCCAACCAGGTTATGAGGTACACTGATAAGGAGGCTATCTTTAACTTAGAGACTATTCCATAATAAATCTTAAATTTCAGAGCAAAAATCCAAAGAAGGAATGCATTTGGAAGTGATTCTGCGAATACAAGGCACCAGAACAATATGTTCAAAAATCAACACATGAATAATCCCAATGTGAAGCATCTACATGAGGCAGATGCAATGAAAATTCCCCCGAAGCCCCACACCGGGGCAGCTCTGATGTGTACATTTTGTAGTTCTTGCTCCAAGTGCAGTAAAATGTCAAGGTTCATCCCACAAGCCAAGGAGTAGTTGACTATATTGTCAACTATTAGTATAGTCATGTTCCTATCGTTTATTCATAATCCTTTCCTAATAGTATATAGCGTTTCCTGTCTAGAGAGATGAACAATTGTATCTTTTTAGTTGTATAAATTAGCGACTCAAATTCAATAACACTCATCTCAAGAAAACGTTTCTTTCTTTGTGAGTGACAATGTATTCTCAGTGTCTAGGCTCTTAGGAAACCCCTCGGGTCTCCTCACTAGCTACTCCTGAGCACATCTTGCTGGATCTTCCTCTTCTAAATGTTGCCGGATCTCCTTCCAAATGTTGGAGGGCCGCAGCATTCAGTATTCTCTTGCTACAGTCAATACTTGGATGATTCATCCATTTCCATGACTTTATGGGTATTACAGAGGCTAACACTGAAATTTCCATTCCCATCTTCCCCAGAAACCCAAACTGCCCTCTTACTATCCTCTAGATTACCACCTGAATAGCTCAGAGTCATTGCAAACACATATCCACAGCCAACGGAGGGAGTCTTTTATAATGCAAGTCAGGTCTTATGACCCCTGTGCTCCAGCCTCTCCCACCTCATGCAGAGTTTAGTCCAAGTCCTCACCTTGGTCTTGTCCCTTGCTGTATCTCTGATCTCACCTCCTGCTATTCTCCCCCTTCACCACTCCGTTTAAGTGACAAATGTCCCTTGTTGATCCCAGAACATACCAGGAACACTCCTGCCTCAGAGACTTTGCACTTGCTTTTCTCCCTACCTGGAATGATCTCTTACAAATATCTGCATGGCTTATCCCTGGACTTCCTTCAGGTCTCTGTTCAAATAACACTTTATCAGTATGGCCTTTCCTCAGCACATAATACAAGCTAGAAATAACCCGCCACCCCCACACACCTCACTCCCACTTTAATTTTTTTCCATTGCACTTAACATCTGACAAACAACATATTTACTCTTTTGCTTGTCTGTCACTCCACTAGGTTGTAAGTTCCATGATGTCAGGAATTTTGTGTATTTTCTTTATTGCTATGCCCCAGAATCTAAGACTAAAATCATAGCCAGCTTTAAACTGTGCTGGTACATGTGTGCAAAATGTGTCTAAATATCACATTTAGATTGATCACTAAAACAATGAGCAAAACAATTTCTATTATTAGTGGAAAGTATATTCTGCTTCTAGACAGTAACACATCTCCTAAATTTTCTTCTTATGGGCTAAGTTTCACCCAAGGCTTCATTCCCAGAGCTTTTGTCTTTAAGATAATAGAGGATGGTGACCCAGAAGCATGCTTGAGAGATAGAGAAGAAACTCTGCTGGAGATTTCAGACTTTCAATTTAGCTGATTCACATGTAATTCTAGTTATTACCAGATAATTCTACTTATTGTAGAGAAGGGAACAAAGGAATACAGATGTCCCCTGCTTTCCATAAGTTTACATTGCACCACTTGAATTTACAAAAGACCTACAATATTTCCTTCCCTGAATAGGTCTCTTCTTCCATCACACCTGGCTTGCAATGTCCACATATTTCAAAGATCTATTTCTTCCTCTTTAATAAAGACTGATACTTTAAATTAATTCCTGGGGAAAACCTGCAAGGGAGTCACCATTGCTTCTAAATCGTAGGTCCAGGAGGTGTCAGCATGGACCGTTTGAGATAGCTGCTTCCAGATCATTTCCTGCCAACATAGGATTGGCCTCATTGGAAGTTTATGCCACTTTGGCTATCTTCTCTCCATCCTCATGAAACTCACCTACCAAATTGTTACCCTCTTCAGCATTTTCCACTATTTGTGCACTCTCTCTCTCTCTCTCTCTCTCTCTCTCTCTCTCTCTCTCTCTCTCTCTCTNCTCTCTCTCTCTCTCTCTCTCTCTCTCTCTCTCTCTTTCTCTCTCTGTCTCTCTCCCTCTCACTAAATGTTACCATGTTCTCCAGCTATGGCTTTAGCGAGATGCATCTGAAGTCTCTTATCCTGACTGCTCTTTTGGGTATCAGCGTGGCATTTGACAGTATTATTCATGATAGCCTTAGGAAGCGGGTAAACAAATATGGGCTGAACGCAAAGACAAGTGAATTTGTACTGGAGTGGAGTGTTGGTGGAGTGACTTTGGCAAACACAGATGACTCATCACATGACTTATCCATTATATCTTTTCCTTAATGGACACAGCTAGAGGAAATACTGACCATGTCTGTCCGATTCACCTCTGTTATACCAAACATCAACAAAGAAATTCAAAGAGAGATGCAGAATCCACACAAGTTATAATTGTAGTTCTCACAATGTTGGAAGAGATTTGAATTAAATTATGTTTAATAAGAGAAAGAGGTCCCAATAACAAGGTTAAGATATTAATAATAGGTAACAATAGATAATTATGGCTAACATCATTGAGGGTTCACTATGAGTGAGGCAGTGTGCTGAGAGCTTTACAGACATGATCTCATTTAGTTCACATAACTCTGTGAAACAGGTACTCTTTCAAGTGCCATTTACATGTAAAGAAAAATGACATTTAGAGATTATGCAACTTGCCCAAAGCCTCATAGCTGATAAATAATAGGCACAGACTAGGAACCTGATATTAACCCCAAAAGCCTTCCTTTACCCAGTTTGTTCAACTTGGGTACAAATAGCCAACTGCACAAGCCCAGGATGGAGGAAGCCTGGCTTAGCCATATTTAAAAAGAAAAACAAAATGGTTTATTAAAAGAAAATTGAATGTAATTTACTGTATGATGTGGCCCCTTTAGAGCATTTGTGGTAGTAAAGGGAGATGCTGATTTTCCTCTGATCAGCAGCAATCCTGTTTGTGCAATTCTGTTTGTGGCCACACGCTCTAATATATGCACACTTCACATATGCAGGGGAACTGATATATATGCACATACACTTGGGGTGCCAAAACAATGTATACACATTTTAAGAGATGTTATCTATGCTCAGGCAATAGTTCGCCGTAATCAGAAGTGTCTGGACACTAATGGTAACCACTTTGATCACCTCTTGTAATTGCAGAAGTCAAACGTGACTTGTATTTGTCTTTTGTTATCAGTAAATATTGAGTATTACAATTAATACAATTTTTCCCTTTCTTAAAATGTGTATACTTTTTTTTTGGGGGGGGGGCATCCTCTGTATATTCAAAAGGTAACTCAAAACCCCTTAGCCTGAGCCTTGAGTAGAGAGGCTTCCAACTTAAGGGGAAAGGGAGCCATTTCCAACTATTTGAAAAGTTGTCCAGATGAAGTATCTTTTCTGTGGTGCCCAGGGATGAACCAACACTAGAGTGAATGTTGCAACATGAAAGATTTCAGCTAACTTTGAGAAGCTAAAATGCCCCTGCTGTTGCTGGAAATATTTTGAGAGAGGAAGGGTACCTTGTGTCAGAGCAGTGGGCAGCTATGACAGGAGCCCAAACTTTACCCCTTTGTCCTGCTCCTGCTGCAATTCTATCTCTACTGAATCAGCTTCTCAGCTCTGCTACCCCAACTTCCATCTCCCCAAGAGGCCCTTTCAGCTTGGTCTTCATCATGTGTGGGTCTCACTTTTCTGTAAAGCACTTTGACTAGGCTTATCCCACTGTTTGAGTACCCATATTTCCTTGCACTAGAATACCTGCCCATGGAGCCCAATACCATACTCCTGCCACTTAGCTGTTACCCTGTCCAGGTTGGCCTATGGTTCCCTAAGGGAGGATTCTAATGGGAACAGAATGCATACAGACATTGGATGGGGCATTTGGCTGGATTACTTTATGACCCTGTCCATCTCGGAGGTTCTCTGGGACAAGCTCCTCCTCCCAACTTCCCACTCTGTATTAATGAAGTCACTTGTGGTTCTCCTGGTCGCCCAAACTTAAAACTTCAGCTGAGCCCTGGACTCCTCATTCTCTCTCCTCCTTCACACCCAAATGTAAATGTCTCACATATATGTCCTCTCTTTTCAGTTCCCACGATTTCAAAAGCTCTCAACATCTTTCCTGTAGACTCTTGCTGTAGCTCTCAATTCACCTCCCTATTTTTTGCATCTTTTCCCAAATCCTCCTTTTTTCTAATCCAACCCAGACTCTACACTACTCCCAAATAACTTCCCTGAAACTCTGCTTAGGTACATCACACTTTTCCTCAAAAACCTTCCCTCTGCTTCCTTGATAGCGAATAAATTCTACATCTCTTATAATGTTTTTTAGAATCTGGCTTTATCTTTCTATGCTTATCATCTTTTTCTCACACTCAAGTTCACACAATGCCACTCAGCACAGCTCCTGGTGCTTATTAGATGTTCAATAATTATGAAATGAATTAATGAATCAAGAGGGGTGTCTCCTTTTAACAGAAATCCTAGGAGGTAGAGAGGAACTGTTTATAGTAAAGATGTGTCTACAATCTTATACACACTTCATGCTAGATATATAGAAAGGACTGATTTAATCTTTTAGGATTTTCTGTGTGTGTGTGTGTGTGTGTGTGTGTGTGTGTGTGTGTGTGTGTGTGTGTGTAAGGAGGGTCACTTTTCTCCCTTGAATGGCCCCCTGCAGCTCTGGAGAAAAGAGGCTGAGTGACATCAGGGCACCTCTGCTAGAGACTGACTGACCTATAGAAGCTAGTGAAAATAAAAAATTCTATTATAATCAGCTCCTTTTAAGACCTGGGGCCTGGCCTAACTCTGAACAGGTCAGCCCAACAGCCCCCACCATCTGGGCTCCCCCTAAACCCCTCACCAACTCCCTACCCATTTCTTTTCTAAACAAAAGGTGCCCTAACTCTGCCCCCAATACCCTTTGCAGCTTATT